GGTGCCTACCCGGATCACCTGGAGAGCTTAAGACCACAATGCATCAGGGCCTTTGTGGATGCTATAGATACCCCCAAAGACCACAGCTCACTCCAAGGAAGCATGGGATGCTCATGTCCACACAACCTCCACAGATCCACCTCTGAAACCCCTTTGGTACCCCTACTGTGGGGATATCCACTTGATCCCCAACTAGGATGACAGTGAATATCTAGTATCCCAAAGTCCTTGGGATATAGTGTAGTTCTAGTGTACCCTGAGGCTAGAGAGCTATGCTACTGCTTGTGGGAGTGCTTACCATAGAGCTCATGAGTCCAATGAAAAGCAGGTGGTAACAGGAGACAGAGCACTCACCTATAAGCTCCCAAGCCCTCTCCCGGCCCAAGAGCAACATTAACAGAATTCACTGAGAAAACCACCAAGTTAATGACAAGTCCTTAAAGTTCTCTTATCTTAAGATTCTCTGGAATATCTCCTTATTTCTTTGTCCTCAAAGAGGTCAGAGCCCAAGGGATCCTGGTACAAACCTTTCTTCTGTGGTGGCTCCTGGTTGCTGGAGTTGGTTGGTAAGAGAAGTGACTGCCCCAGCGTTTCTAAGGGGGCCACATTTGATAACTTCTTTCCTGCCGAGAGCCACTTAGTGGCCTTGGGTGGCTTCTTTTTGGGCTTCTTAGTGGCTTTGGGTGGCTTCTTTTTGGGCTTCTTGGTAGCCTTGGGTGGCTTCTGCTTTGGTGTCTTGGTGAACCTGGTGGAGCCCTGCAGGTGTTTTGTGGCCTTGGGACCTTTGTCTTTCTTCCCTTTCTTCTCTTTGTCTTTGTTCTTTTGTGGAAGGACTGTCAAGGACAAAGCTGAAGGAACAGACAATCAGAGCCCCATCTGTGTGCCCAAGTTTTCCCCCTGGATGCCCAGGGCCTGGGTGTGAGGGCACCTGTCAGTTCCTGATCTGGTATAGATCAGGAAACTAAGGTTAGCCACTTACTCGAGTGGTAGAACGAGACCCTTGTCCAGGCCTCCTGTCTGCATATCCAGAGTGATTAGTAGCAACTCTTGGCTGCTCTGAAGTACTGAGTTTGGGGCACGATATATAGGGAGACATCTCTGTCTGCCCCAGCCTCCATGGGGGTCCCTCATAATCCCTTTTTCACGTTGTCTGCCTAGTCCTGGAGTACAGTTCTGTACCAGGCATGGAAGGTACAGGGAAGAGCCTGAAAGAGCAAAACTACCCAAGCAAATGACCAGACAAATTAAAGAACGTGGCTTGGCCTTCCAAGAGCCTCCTTTCATGTTGAAGAAAAGCTTCAAAGAGACACTCAAGGCAGGCTAGGGGTGTAATTCTGTCTTAGAGCAGTCAGTCCCCTGGTATGTGTAATGCTGGGAGCCAAACCCAGGAGATTACCTGCTGTTCTGGAAAGCCTAGTCAGTACAAGATTAAGAAAGGACATTCTTGGATTTCTCGGGTCGCAGGTCCCACGAACTTAAAGAACGTCTGGTATTTCCTGGGAGCTGGTTCCCACAGTGGAATGGTCTTGGGCAATAAGAATATGATAATGGGATGGACTTGGGCAATGAGGATGTGACAGTGGGATGGTCTTAGATAAGGATGATTTAATAGTGGGATAGCCCTAAGCAATGACCCTTCCCTAAACTTCCCGTTTTTCTGTGTCTTTATTTTATTATTTATTTATTTATTTATTTATTTATTTTTGGTTTTTCGAGACAGGGTTTCTCTGTGTATCTCTGGCTATCCTGGAACTCCCTCTGTAGACCAGGCTAGCCTCGAACTCAGAGATCTACCTGCCTCTGCCTCCCAAGTGCTGGGATTAAAGGTGTGCACCATCACCACCCGGCTTAATATATTTTTGTCATTTCATATCAATTTTTTTGTTGTTGTTGTTTTGAGACAGGGTTTCTCTGTGTAGCCCTGGCTGTCCTGGAACTCACTCTGTAGACTAGGCTGGCCTCGAACTCAGAAATCCACCTGCCTCTCTTTCCCAAGTGCAGGGATTAAAGGTTGCTGTGTCTTTATAACCTGCCACCTGAAATTAAAGTTAGAGAGCTTGATCAAAACCCCAGACTTGCTCTCATCCTTTATGTCTCTTGTCCCTTCATTCTTTTGCCCCCTTCCCTAGGGTCTCGTTGAATCCCTGCAGGCCAGGGCAGTTGGTGCCTAATATGGGGCCTTTTGGTCTATGTCTGATCAAATGTTGTTCCCACATGGACGTCCCTCAAGCATAGGATCGATGCTTCACTGTAAAGGCAAGTGAAGAGAGAAGAGCTGCATTGTGATTGCCACAGAGTCGCCTGCCTGTGAGATTGATCAGGTTAAAGTAAGTTAGAGCAATGCAATCATTGGGACAAGCATTAAGGAAGCATGATTTGCTCTTAAAGGGTCTCAAGGAGTCCCTCAAGATACAAGGATTAAGGATTAAAAAAAGGATCTTAGAAAATTCTTTGATTTCATTGTCGATGTTTCCCCAAGAGGAGACTACTGATGAGAAAGCACTACACCTCCTAAGGAGGAGATAAAAAGTTATACCTTGAAGATGAGGGAGAGGAAGGGCTAAAGCAGTTGTCCACTCTCCGGCCGTGTTAGCAAAAGAAAAGAAAAAGGCTATTTTAGAACCCTTCTGGGAGCAGGAGAGAATCAGGAGATGTCCTGCTTTTTTCTGGGTCCTACGGGAGAGATCCTCAGTTCTGCTTTCTCTGTCTATTGTCTGTCCTTGGTGCGCCAATCTGTCCATGTGTGTCAATTGTCTGCTTTTGTTTCATCCTTTGAATGATTGTTGTTCTATATTTCATATTCAAAAAATGACTAAGCAAGGTGCTTTTCTCTTGAAATTACAGCTAGAAAAAGTAAGAAAATTTTGATGGGATAAAATATATAAGATTTGCATCTACTTCATTTTTGTTTCTGACTGGTATAAAAGTATCAATATTTTCTGCATGTCTTGGTTATAGATTTTTGGCCTATAAGTTACTGGGTGTGATTAAAAATTTGCAAGTTTGGTAACAGAAAGTTGGCTTAAAACTGGTAACTCAGGATTGGAGTCATTCAGAAACCAGATGTATAAAGGATAGGATTTAAAACAATGTCTCTTTAAAGAGATATCAAAAGCTGCACTATCATACAGTCATATATAAGAACTGGCAGCCAAACCTTGCAAGATGAAAGTAATGCACTTGGTGTTGATTTTAGAGAAAATGGATTGTCTGCATTGTTAAAAATTGGTTTTGTTTCCCAAAATTATGATTATACTCTAATATTACAAAAAGAAACTTAAACATATAGTTAAACTGCCAATGTTCTATTGGCTGCAGTTGGCAGGTCAAGCGTGAGCTCGAGAACTTTTGACTCACCTGTGTTTATGATTAAGAAGATGATTGAACAGGTGGAGATGATCATAAGAGTTAAAAACAGCTGTAGCACAGTACAGCCCTGCTGCCACTTTTACAGCATTAGTAGATTCAATGGTAGAGGCAAACTTAGCCCCCCAAGATTGAAAAGGAGATCTCAGTGGGAGTTTTATCTGGGATCAAACAAAGCCCTGATGAACCATTTCAGGAATTTGTGGATAGGCTGCTAAAAGGGCTGGTAGAATTTTTAGAGACCCTAAGGCAGGAGTTGCTTTTGTTATACAGTTGGCTTATGAGAATGCTGACTACAGTCCAAGCCATGCTTTCACAGTGCTGAAGAGATATGGAATGCTCTAAGTATGGGGGCATAGGTCATTTTAGGAAAGACTGTCCAATAAATAGAGGCATAGACAGACAACAGAATCACTCCCCTGTAATCTGTCCTCTGTGCAGGAAGGATAACTGTTGGGCCAGGCCTCAGGAAATAGGCCCAGATTAAGAACATTTACATTTGAGTTAAGACAAAGCTCTGAGTGGGCTCAGCAGAAGCTTGTGTGACATTCCTTTTGACATGGTCACCCTGACTAGCCCCTAGAAAGGTGTTTTTCGGAATTAGTTTATTGCCTTGTTTCTTCCTTGGAGAGGAAAGGTCAGCCTCAGACCCAAAGACACTCACAACAGACAGCTCATGGGCTAGGAGTTACAGATAATGATTATGCTGGAGAAATTAAAATCATGCCTGCTTCCTCCATGGTATTATAGCAGTGCCTGCTAATAAAAGAATTGCTCAAAGAGTAAGAGAGGACAAGATTGGCCTTCAGCTTGGCCTTTATCTGATACTCTCACTCAGCTACAAGGGACTGGTTATTCCATTAATCCAAAACAAAGTTCAGACTTACATTCAATGAGTTTGCTCATGATTTTTGAGAGCCCATGAAGCCATATCACTAGAAAGTTTTGTCTCAAGGAATGGCTAATAGCCTTACATTATATAAAAAATGTGTTGTTTTTTAATACAAGAAGTTAAGAGTTTGAATTTTTTAGTGTATATTATTCATTGTATGGTATTTTATTTGTTGATCTCTCTGAAGGAGTTTTAATGCAAGCCTTTGTGCTCATACGAGCTTTAAATTTTGGGGGGTGTGCTTGTTGCTCCAGAAAATATTCAAAGGCAGAAAATATTTACAGACGGCTCACCTAATGGGAAGACAGTATATATAATTGGATCACAGGTTCATTTTCTTAAGTTTCCCCTTGCTTCAGCAAAATAATTAAATGATGGGCTGTAGCCACTGTTTGAAATGCTGAAAAATCAAGCTTTCAGTTTGTATACTCATAGTCAGTATACAGCTCAGGGTTTATAATTGCTTGAAATTGTTCCTTGTTTAGATATGGCTAATTCTCAAATTTTACAAATACAGCTTAATTTAAGAAACATGTACTTTCCCTTAACTTTATAAGACATTTAAGAGCTCATACTGGATTGCCTGGACCCCAGGGCAATGCCACAGCAGATTTGTATACCAGGCAGATTATAGGCCTTACAGAAGCAATTGGCCATACAATCTTATTCTTTACATCATCAAAATAATAATAGTTCGAGACAATAATTTGATATTTCTAGAAAGTGTGCAAGTCAAACTGCAAAAACTTGTTCTCTGTGTCCTCAATTTTTTCATAATGCTGTTAATCCTTGAGGACTTATACCTAATCAATTATGGCAAGTGGATGTTACTCAATTCTGATTTTGGAAAATTAAAACATGTACATGTGACTTGACACCTTTTCAGGCCTTCTAGATGCAACTGCTTTTAGCAGGAGAAACAACTAAAAATTTAGTTAGTTATTGCCTACATTATCTTTCTATGCTTGGTGCTCCATATCAGATCAAGAGAGAATACAGAACTGGCTATTGCAGGGCTGGAGAGATGGCTCAGCGGTTAAGAGCACTGACTGCTCTTCCAGAGGTCCTGAGTTCAAATCCCAGCAACCACATGGTGGCTCACAACCATCCGTAATGAGATTGGATGCTCTATTCTGGTGTGTCCGAAGACAGCGACAGTGTACTCATAAATAAAATAATAAATAAATCTTTAAAAAAAAAAAAAAGAACTGGCTATTGCAGTCAGACATTTGAGATGTTTTATTGACAATTCAATATTACCCATATTACTGGGATTCCTTATAATCGCCAAGGACAAGGTATTGTGAAACAGATATCATGGAACTTTAAAATAATATCTTCATAACTCTCTTGAGTGTGGGAGGAGCAGCTACTGGTGCTTCTGCCCTGGTTATGCAAGGAACTCTAAAAAATTGGCTTTTAAAAAACAAAAGAGTGGAGTTATATCCCCAGAAGGGGTCTCCTAGAAATACTCTCCATCATGCCTTGTTTGTTCTCAATTTTCTAAATCTGAACGCTTATGGCAAATCTGCTGCCGATCGCCTCTGGCACCCTGAGACTAATAAGAATTATGCCACAGTTATGTAGAAGGACCCTCCTACCTTTAAATGGAACGGCCTGGACCCAGTTCTCATATGGGGCCGAGGATCAATATGTCTGTTTGATACCAAAGAAGGCACGGCTAGATGGCTACCAGAAAGATTAGTGAAACAAACAGATACTTCCACAAAGTCAGCCCCAATTGTAGATAAAATGGATAACAATTGAGATCCAGGGAAGAGCAATCTCCCTGAGAATTCCCTTCTTTTTTCCTTTCCAGATAAAAATGAGCCGCTCGTGGTGTTTGCTGTTGGAGGTTCTGATTCTGATGCTGGCCTCGGGACTTGTACTACTCAGAACTTCAACAGGCTATTGACAAGGACATTGAACAGCAAGAGATGGGCATCACTAATCTGGAAAAATCCCCTCATCTGCTTTTCCTTCAGCAAGGGGGACTCTGTGCCGCCCTCAGGGAGGAATGCTGTTTTTATACTGACCACACCTGTGTAGTTAGAGATAGTGTGGCCAAGATCAGAGAGAGATTAGAATGGAGAAAGAAACATCGAGAACAAGAAAAACCGGTTCTCTGCCTCTCCTTGGCTTACCACCTTCCTCCCTTCCATCCTGGGTCCAGTGGTCAGTCCCCTTCATTCAGCTTTTGGCCCTTGGGCCTTTAACAGACTCACTGGCTTTATAAAACAACAAATTGACTCCATGGCATCTCAACCTCTACAAGTGCATTATCATAGACCTGATCTGACTGATAGAGGCTTGGCTGAGCCTTGCGATGACATAACTTCTTTAGCAGCTGCATAGAACTCAGATCTGTGCACGTTAGTTCGGCATGGCATGGACACAACGTGGGTACCTGCAAGGGGTACATGACGAGGTACTGTAGGGGGAGGACCCAAATTGTCTGCTTCTGAGTTCCCCCAAAAGCAAACCCGATTACATAGAGGTTGGTGTTGATTTCTTGTGTCTCAAAGCAGCTGGCTAGGACCCTCAATATCCCATGTGGCCCCTGAGTCAAATAACCCCCTCCTCTCCCAAAAGACCATTTGAAACGATACTGGGAGGATCAGGTCAATACTTTCCCCCTCTGATTAATGCCCACTTATGTGCCGATGAGATTTCTTAATGTCCCCATTCTCCTGCCAGCCTCATTTAAAATTGTGAAAAGGGAGGAGATGCCAGGAGCCAAACCCAGGAGATTACCTGCTGTTCTGGAAAGCCTAGTCAGTACAAGATTAAGAAAGGAGGTTCTCGGGTCTCTCGGATCGCAGGTCCCACGAACTTAAAGAACGTCTGGTATGTCCTGGGAGCTGGCTACCACCGTGGGATGGTCTTGGGCAATAAGAATATGATAATGGGATGGTCTTGGGCAATAAGAATATGATAATGGGATGGTCTTGGGCAATAAGAATATGATAATGGGATGGTCTTGGGCAATGAGGATGTGACAGACTGACGAGGAGGATTCAATGGTGGGATAGCCCTAAGCAATGACCCTTCCCTAAACTTCCCATTTTGCTGTGTCTTTATAACCTGCTGCCTGAAATTAAAATTAGAGAGCTTGATCAGAACCCCAGACTTGCTCTCATCCTTTGTGTCTCTTGTCCCTTCATTCTTTTGCCCCCTTCCCTAGGGTCTCATTGAATCCCTGCTGGGCGAGGCAGTGTAAGGCCCTGGGTTTGGTTCCCTGGCACCGCCCCTAGGGAGGAAGGCAGGTAGGCAGGCACTCAGTGAGTTTTGAAGTCCCAAAAGGTTCCAGTTGAAACCCAGAACCAACATATAAAGACAGAGGGACAGGCAGGTAGGTAGTTCTTGGTGCTGCCTCATCTCAGAGAAGTCTAGTAGCAGGGTCACCCCCTAGAACCCTCGGAGCTGCAAATGCTGCAAATTTAATGGCAATGGGAAACACACAGGCAGTTGGCTGAAACACAGGGAACATTGCAAAACATGCAGCAGAAGCAGGGTCACTTGGCAATGTCCAGAAAGTCTTGGATGCTGGAGGCAAAGCGTGCAGAGAGGAGGGGGGAGTGGCTGACCTCAGGAATGGTGAATGGTGCCTTACAGTCTCCTGGGAGAGAGATCACAAGATCCTTTGCCACTCTCCAGAGGGTCATGAAAAACAGCTAAGATTTACTGACAACTGATTACATAAGAGGCTCAGGGCTACATGCCTCCAGGATGCTATCACCTCGCTTAGTTCTGACCATCTCAGAGCACCCACTTTCACCTGGAAGTCTTCCTCAGCCCCCTCCCCTGCCTGTGTGTTCCTGTGGGAGAAGAGGCAGGCAGATGCCTAGGCTTGAAGCTTGCCACTAACAGATTAGGGCCAATTCAAACGACAGGGAGGGGAATCACAATTCCCCTCCTGCCCAAACCTACATTCTCTTGAGACCTGGGGATGAGCAACTTGGGCGAGTGTATCCTCAGAACCTCAGCGCCCTATGCTGTCCATACACCTCCAGGTCTCCAAACTGCAGGATAGAACTGCCGCCTGGCACTGTGTTGCCTTGTGTTGCCCTGGACATTCCTCACTGGGCAGCATGGGAAGGCTAGACCCTCCACAGGCCCTGTATGCTGACTTGAGGCCATGGCCACCCATGTCACCGGGTTCTCACCTTCTGCATCTGGCCGCGGCTTGCCCCTTGCCTTGGATTTGCGGGCACGCTGGGTGGGTTCGGGAAGCAGCTGGGCTTCCACTTCGTCTTCCCGGGGCGGGGACTGGGTCTCCAACTCTGAATGGTAGCCTTCTAGGAACTCTTCCATCTCATCATCCCTCAGCACCTTCTGTGGGCTCCCCTCGGAGCACAGAGCCAGCAGTGCCAAGAGGCCACAGAGCAGGGATGCACTGCGCACTGCAGCCATGGCTCTGGGCACGCGCGGGAGCCGGGTGGGCTTGAGCAGGGACTTGGGTAGTAGGGGCGGCCCCCCGCGTGGCGGTAGGAAAGGGCGCCAGGAACCCTGGGGAGCAACGTGGACGTTGATGGTATCCAGAAAGGGGTGGGAGAGGGAGATTGAACGAGGACAAGGGGCTCCAGGAGAGCTTCTGGCTGGCCCAGCTCTGGCGGCAACTGGGTTCTCCTACCCCGCGTGGCTAGCTCTCACGCGGACCGCCCTCAGATCGCTTGCGACGGCCTGGCCGGGGCGGGGGCTTCTGGTTTCTGGAGGGGGAGGAGGAGGAGCTGGCCTTGGACCAGGGGCTGCGGGGGAGGGAGGCGGAGCAGCACGGAGCCCCGACTAAGAGCAGCATTAGCGCCCAGTTTAGAGGGTCTGGGTGCAGGGCGCCTAGGGGCAAGGAAGGCCTGGGAGAAAAGAATGCAGAGTTATGGGGAAGGAAGTGTGCGGGGTCTAAAGAGACTTATGATCTACCCGCTGTGCCCTCTGCTCAGAGCCCCAAAGCTTGCTGGGTGAGGGAGGGAGCAGGGCCCTGAGGGTACTGGAGATCACCTCCTTCCCAGTCTTTGGAGTTTTAGTTTTTCAAAGTGTCACCTGCTGTGTGCTGGCGCAGGTGTCACCTTTGTCCAGTTATCACCAACATCCCAGGTCTTTGGAGTCCATTTTTTCCCCCCCGAGGTAGGCTATGAAAAGCTGTTCTCAGCCAAGCTGCTGTCCTAGAGATAGGAGCCCCACTTCAGAGCTCAGGTCTCAGGTCCCAATGTGAAGTAATCGCTATTTCTCTCCTTCCTCTAACAGAAGTGTTTACAACAACAACAAATTGTTTACAATTTTTTACAACTACCACACAGGCCCAGAGGGTACGAGAGCCTCAGAGCATCCCAGGATACACCTGTCGAAGTGCCAAGGTGTCTGCCACTGGCTTCTAGAAGATAAATGTTGGCTGGTTCTAATGGCCATCACAGCTAAGCCCGGGAATGCCAGAGCATTTACCACTGAAGATTCAGGATGTGAACGTGGGCTTGTAGCCATGGGTCTGGGTCAGTAGGAGGCAGCTTTCAACCAAGGTGGGGAGGCACTCGGAT